TTGTATGTGACATTGTTCTGCTCTTAAATGAATTGGCCTTGAATATATGTCCCTCTCAGTGTGTGTGTATACGTGTGTGTAAATAACTAATGCACCTCGGCTGCAGTTATGAACGACCGCTTCCCAAAATTTGGACAGATGGGGATAATGATCTCACCAGATTAGCAGCGTTAATGTGGGTGTAACACCTCACCCTAAACCTTGTTGTGTTTTATTACACCACATACACGCGCGTGTCCTCGGCCAAGGGCACGCTGATGTGTGACTGATATGTCTGCATCCAAAGTGAATGTCCTTGTTATCCAGAGGAGGAATCTGTCCAGGTACATGGCAGGATTTCCTCCCATGGGGCTTTGGACCAGAGAACATAACAATAGTCTTGTTCCAAATGTTCACTTTCCCCCCCCTTAACACCCATTCCTCCCCCAACACACACACACCCTGGGGGCTGAACAGGGATTGCTTGATTGTACTGCTGCAGGGTCAAGTGTGTTGAGCCCTTGATGCTGGATCAGGCGCTTCCATCTCTAACACTCAGGGCTTCACTGAGGCCATAGCCACTTATTTGTAGGCAGTTAAAGATGCTCATTTACTTTCCTTAAAGCAAGTGATGGCGATGTGTGTGCTGTGTGTGTATCTGTAAAAAAAATCCATCCAGTCTTGCAAACTTTTAGTTTGTAAAAAGCATGAAAATATGCTTCTGCTTCACACACACACACACACACACACACACACACACACACACACACACACACACACACACACACACAGAGCCCCTCGGAGCAAGACCCCCACACAAAAATCACAGTGTACCATTCAATCAGTGCTTTTTCTCCCTCCTCTCCATGGTTCTCTCAAAGGTTTAAACCATGGCGAGAATGAAAACTGCCAGTGTTGGAAATCTCGGCCCATTGAGTAGGTGACAGGGTCTGCCAGAATATGATCCTAATCCTGTTTCCAGCATTCTTTTAGCCCAGTGGCATTGCCATTTCGCAGCATATTCTCTGAGCTGTCAGACCCGGGGAAATCCCTCTAATAGTGCATTGCCCAGATACACATCAAAGCGCTCCTGGAAACCACCAGCACGAACTTAAGGGAGAGGGAAGCACAAGTACAATCAGACTCACAGCTGCACAGGAAAAAAAAAGAAAAAAGGCTTCGTCATTTAACTCATACTTTCTGCCGAAAAGTTGAAACAATCGTTGCCACTTTCCTTAACACCTTTCACAGACATAAACAGAGGGAAATGGGTTACGTGGACAGAGAAACAAAGAAGAGAGTGATATCAAGAGGCAGACAACAGGTGGCTAAACTGTGTATCCAGGGCCACCCTCCTTTAGTTCCACTTCATCTTCCATTTTCTTCTTGTCCTTTTTCTCTTAAACACTCTGACTGCCATCTCGCCCCTTCCCGGGTAATCTTCTTAAAGAGAAGAAAACCCCCATTCTCTCTCTTCTTAATCTGGCTGCAGTCTAAACCTTGGGGTGCATTTCCAATGTGGGCGTCACTAAACCAAACGGGAGCTCTCCCAGCCACTTCACGGAGCATCGAGTCTGTCGACGGATGCTTAGATTACACAGTGAAAACACGTCTAGTATATGAACCTCATTTTATGAAAATAACTCACGGCCCAGGGTTAAATGGTACGGTGTCGGTATGGGCCTGTTGGATCAAACTGTAAGGTCCATGTGAAATATTTAAGCCACAGATTAGTGGCTCGTGATATGGATAAAACCTTTGCATGATAAACTCAACAGGTAACACAGTAGTTATAGTCACTGAAAACAGACCCCTGTACGTGTGTAGAAAATCCATCACAAATTCTTTTTATTATTTATTTTAAAAAGTATCTTTATTTACCACGTTGAAAACAAATAAAACAAGTACATTCAGTGTGTATAAAACCTTGTGTCTATTGGTGAGGTTTGCTTCACTGCTGTGGCTGTAGATCTACTGTTCCAGTGTAACCGTTGAGTAATTATAAATTATTCAAAGTGGAAAACTCTAAAAATTAAAGAAAAAGGCAGGCCAACTGCTCTCAGTCCTTCTCCACCTCTCTCAAGTTTCTAACATTTCCACACAAGCATCAGAAAACACAACGTGCAAATGATCTTTTGATAAAATGTAAATAGACGACTGGAGGCCTGTAAATATGAGCGAGCTGTGGAGCTGAACAGTAAAGAGACGAACAGCTGCACTCTGAAAATGAAGAAGAAAAAAACAAAACAAAAAACGCACACACACACACACACACTCTATAGCATTTCTGTGCACTTTGTGGTTGAGAACAGCAGAGAGCACATCCTGCTGGGCTCAAGTCTACATTAATGTATCTGCAACAAAGACCCCCACTGCTGAGATCTTCTGCCCCGCTGCTAGCTGGGACACGAGTCTGAACTTCACCTCTGGGCTGGAATCTCCACAGCAGGAAGAGCAGCTTAACTACTACAACCTGCAAACCTGCAACATTCCTCCATGTGCGTCTTTACCAAACAGACACCTTAAAGTTCACTTTGAACCACTGACGGCACAAACACCGATTTAACTATTAAAACAACCTGCTGTAGATGCTCAGTTTTAACATTCATTCCGAGTTTGCGAGGCACAAGGTGAAAACATCAAACCATTAGTGTTTTTGCAGGTTTATTAACAAAAATTGTACTAGAAAACACAGCGGAAGCATGTGGGTGTGTAGTTAAATCCATAATATTCATCTTTCTAATACACAGCATGTCTCCCTAACACAGGCTTACACATAGGGACACAAACGCACAGCGCTTCATTGGCTAATTCAATAATAAAGCAGGCAGCCAGTTGAGTCCATAGACAGGCAGAATAGAGAGTAACTCATCTCTAACAGTCTGCCGTCTCCTGAGTGTTAAAACATGTAAATTTATGTAGGAGCCCATAGGAAACACATATTTACAATACGTTTAGGTAATCACAAGATATGCGAGGAGGCATTCGAGGCCCTGGGGACGAACGCAGTCAATACAAAAATAGTTTTTATGTGTCATTAATTCCCCCTGCATTCCCCGATACATCCCCCTTTTACCGCAGTAATACAGTAATCACTCACAATCGCACAGAAAATTATCTGCACTCATCTGTGGAATAAAAAAAAGCGGAGGGGCAAAACAGGGCGAGTCGTCCCATTTTAGCTCTCTGCTGCCTCTTTAATGTTCATCTGGGAGCCGCATGGCTGACGTCCATCCCGGCACGGGGATGGGAGTCAGCTCCGGAGCAGCTTAATGACAGTGGGATGTGGATGGTGGACTCGTTAAGAAACACGCACACACAGAGACACACACCTTTTTTCATGCTACATTGCCTGGGCCAGGACAACATAAAGGGTCATCGGCGGTGTGATGGGAAAAAAAAGAAAAAGAGGCACCTCTGCGCTCACATTAGGCTGTGATAAGAGGAAACATTTCACCTCTGAGTGATGCCGATGCAAAAACGGACTCAATCCAGCTATAGTAATGAAAGCTGTGCAGATTCAGATGTGAGAAGCCAAATGGTCAAAGAAGTCATTATCTGCCTTGTCATTATGCCCTCCTCTCACACAGCCATATATCGCATTATTAGGCAAAGCCATCAAACCTGATGAATAAGCAAAGAACAAGACAAGCCCATTTTCATTGCCGAGCTAAAGAGAGCAGGTAATTCTGATGGAAATTTGTGTTTTTTTCCCCCAAACCACAAACATCATCCCTGTGCAGCTGACAAAGTACAGCAAGACAAACACACATAGTGGAATTACAGTAGCATTTCCACATATAAACGCTCAGTGTCCTCTAGTGGACAAGGAAGATACAGGACACTTGTAATCTTGATCTACTGTTGACACCTAGAGGGCAAAAATTAAACAGCAACTCATGAATAGCTATACATGAGTGGAGGAGACCTTTAAAGAAAATGACACATCCTTCCTAATTGTAATCTTAATCCTTTGTCCATTGTTTTCTTGTAGTTATTGCCTGTAACTTACGATCACTATCAGACGAGCACCACTTAAATATTAACATTTTATCACACTCAAAATGTGATAAGAACGTGCAGATGTACAGTACTGACTAACAACTTATTGAATGACTATTTGACTTCTTCTCACACT